CGTAGACGCACTCACTACCATAGGGTGGCTTCAATTTGGTTGGTTTCGGTTTCAGCGCGCTCGCTAGCTGTGTTGGTATATCGTGTCCTTTTCGCTTAATTTTATGATACAAATGTCTCCGTTGAAGCACACAGCCAACGATACAGTGGTACTGGGCCAGTTTTGAGATCCACGAAGTGGTTTCGAGCCTGAATAGTAGACGTTTCTACAAACACCTTCATCTGGTCGTGTTCGTCGTTCGGCGAGGTTCGGTGGCAAAACAACTGATCTGACGCGGAAGGAGGATTACCATTGTCTACCGCTTTACCCGCTGACACTAGTTTCCATAAATATAAACTAATTTAGTTATCAGTGCATGAGTGCATGAAAATGCAAGTCGACAATCTGAGTAACGATGTGCTAAATCGGCGCGAACAGATGAACTCGGAAGTTTAGGGATCACTGTCTGATTTTCGAGGACACCAACTTTTTCTGAACATCACCGACTGGAAAATACCCGCGTCATGACGCATGGAATGTAAAAAAGAAGCGATATTGTCTGCGCCTGTTATCTTTAAAGAAAGGAAGTACTCGGACAGATGTTTCGATGGTTCAATGCGGAATAGGGAGTTTTTCAACTATTGGCCCAGCTAAATACCAGCATTTCAGAATGTTGGCCTTAGAAAACAAACTCCTCGTTATACGGGCATTTGTTAATGACATACTCGCGATATGAGATAGGTGACAGACCCGTCAAGCGAAGTCTGGCATCTGTCTTCCGTCAAGTTGGCGAAAGGAAATTAAAGTGCGCGTGACCTCCGCCAGGTCCAGTTGAAGTAGAATGCTTCCTGGATCTGTGTAGATTGATCTTCATTCGTTTGAATGAATGCGGTTGTTACTTTCAGCGGTTTCAAGGCAGACAGATTCTCTTAGGCGTGACATATTGCGTACCTCCTGCGCTCACAGCTGCATGTGACACGTTTTTCACCCGGGGAGCCCCACCCCTTTATTTTTAAATAAATTAATCGAACTATTTAGGAAAATCATTAAGGTACATTGAAAGACAACAGACTTGGGAAAGCAGAGCACGATGCTTTCGAAGAACACACATATGGGCTCATCAGGTTGACTATATTTGTCGCCTGCTTTGCAAATGTATATGCGCGATCATCAAGCGCTTCTTATTGCGAATGTTCCACCACTATCACTGAGCCAACCTGCTCTGTCATAGGTAATTGGCCTTTCAACCATCAAGCTGTTTTACGTAGAATTCCCTTGGTAGATTTGGAGCGATCCAAGCGCGCTCCATACTCGCACCTTTAGTGCGGTAGGTGCGAGCGCGCGCTTGCACGCCCAAAATAATACCAACGAAAACGAGCTTTAAAACCGCGCCCATTTCCCCAAAGGAATTCCCCATTGAAGTGCCCTGCATACTCGACATGCGCCAGTAATAAGTAATAAAATCAAGTGCAGAAGTTATGATCATAATGGTGGCACGCAATTACGTAGTGACGATAATTATCGGACGACAGTTTAGAAAGCAAGGCAAAAAAGGCTCGAGGTACACCTAAGCATTTCTTATGAGTTGTGAATGCGAAAGCATGCAAGCCGCTCGTCCGCTCCCTTTGTCGTCTGCTCGTCCGCTCCCTTTGGCGTCTGCTGCCTACTAACGCGCGCGCGCTTCGGGATCTCGGAGGCCATGGCGCAGCGGCCAATGGGAGCCCCGTCGACGCACGCCAGCCAATGGAACCGAAGGCGAAAACCAGGAGCCGCTTTCGCGCTTCAAACTGATGACGTCAGCTCGCTCCATGAGGCAGTTAATGCATTCGCATTAAAAATAGCGGTCGAACGCGACGAAAGACACGAATACAGAGCAGTCGCGACAACGCGGATGGGAGTTAAGCGACGAGTTGAAGTAACCTCATGGCGGCCGCGTCACGTGATTTAAAGATGGCAGCGTCCATTTGACGGAGTGTGATCTATATGAAATCCCTTCAGGCTACTTCTTGAGTTCATATGCACAAAATTTCACGATTTTAGTACTCTAGTAGGAACGGGATGATCACTTTCAGTTTCTCTGTTCGCGTTTGATGGTCTGGCAGCGCTGACGTAACCTGACGTATTTTCAAGAGAAAGATGGGGAGCTTTTTATCTTTCAGTTATATAGTGAAAAAGTTTTGTACTGATTATCTGTAAGCGTTAACGTGTTCGCATGGAACGTGCACAATAATGTAGTCCGTTAAGTTTCGATTAAAAATAAATTCACGTGACCGGTCTCACGCAAATGTCTCATGTGCGGCATCGAGTGTGGAGAAAGCGCGTTTAGATTTTCGGTTCTGGTGTCACTTGGAGCAGAACTGAGCGGTCATCGGAATCCAGACACGCTTCCCGGCTTCCTGTACGCGTCCTATTTTGATATAAACCGCGGTTCGCTGGGCCCCCTGAGAAGCGGGCTTTCCCTCACGAAGGGTGTGCGTGCGGCGATGCACCCTTTACGGGGACGCAATTTTCAGATTGGACGTTACTTATCGTTTTTATAGTCCGTTGTAACCAAAAAAAGTAGGGCAAGGGTAAGACGGACCGGGGAGGAGGAAGCAGACGGATTGCTAAAGAGAGAAGGAGGTTTCCCCCTCTCTTCTCCAGCATTCCGTCTGCTTCTTCGGCCCCTCTTACCCTCGCCCTACTTTCTTGAATTGCAACGGACAATAGGAGGAGCGCTTTAATTTCCGGTGAACGACTATACGTCCGCGCGTAGCCAGTAATCACACGTGTCGCGAAAAATAACAAATATTTCTCTCTTCGTGATAACTGATGCCAATTATAATAAAACTGGAACGGTGTAGTAAACGTCGGAAAAAAAGGGTGAGGAAGAAAATAAAATAATAAAGCGTATTATGCACAAAAAAAAAAAAAAAAAAAGAAAACGAGCGCAGAAAAAAAATTACGAGTGCTCCCTTATAACGTGTTCAAGGCATTGCAAATATAGTCAAGATAAAGTAAGAAAAGAAAAAGAAACTGTTGCAGAAACCTTTACGTTGGTTGTCTACGATATGCAAAGCATATTGTATGAGTACTCACGACGTCATCTACAAGAAGAGGCCAGATTTTTTTACAATGCCAGGTGGCCACATCGCAACTCACGACGCAGCTCGCTATAAATACAAGGACGCAAATTCTGAACAAACGCTTTACTGATCCATGCTGTCGATTGTTGTAGTCTTCATGGTTGATTGCTAGTGTCGGGAGACTAGCGGTCTGTGTCAAGTGACGTATGAGACATACTTTGAAGTGTGTACGTCAACTCCCCTAGTAAACGCCTGATCGATGTTACTGCCACGTCGTGTTGTTGGTACTGCGTTCTCATCGTCCTCCTTCGTTGCGTATCGACGACGCTCGGCGGCTACACGACACCGTTTCCTCTTGAGGAGCTCCTGTTGTGTGGGTGGTGGTCGCCCGCGAGGCGCCATCTCATCTGACACGACGAGTGCCTCGAGATCGGGTTTTATAAACGGTCTACGACGCAATCATTGACGTCGCCGCGACTGTAACGCGCCGCTTCGAAATCTGTTTTGAGCGATCGCTTCGTAGCCTGGGTGCGAATGTGAAGGAGGGCGTACTGCCGCTCCGTATATACGCCGCGTGCTTAATTCCTTTTTTTTTTCGCTAGGCCATAGAGGTAGCTAAAGAATGATTCGCATTAAAAAAAAAAAAAGGATTACGGCTTGCCAGATAGAGCTCGACAGGTATCATTTCTAACGGGATAAGTATCGTATCGGCTTGCGGTTGTGAATCACTAGTGCGTGGTGCACATTAAAGGCACCCAGGCTAGCAGCGCGTACTGCACTGGCAAAATTTGTCATCTACAGTGGTGACACCAAACTCCCATTAGGGCTGACTGACCTCCCCGCTGTCTAAACACACGCACAGCGCAATCGTTAGTTTTCTAACGCAATGCATCTGTAGAAAGTGGTAAGACGTCCTCTCGCGGCGATCGGCGCCGCGGTTGGGATCGGAACTCTGAGAGAAATCCACGAGGAGCGGGAAAGAAAGGGAAGGACGGAGGCTATCGCTTTAAACGGGGCCATGATGCGCTCCTTGACTGAGGCCTCTCAATCCGGCCCTTAATCTGAAGCGTCCAGCAGCGCGCGTCTCGCTCCCCGTCGTGCATATTTGAAGCGGACGGGAAGGGAGGGATTAGGGATGCCGGTCCCCTCCCTGGTCTCGCCGGGGCAGACGGCGGGGTCGGACCGTCGCGTGACGCGCTTTAAAAGTGGGCTTCGGAGGGGGATTAGCGAATACGAGGGGATGTTTGGAAGATTTGGGCTTAACTCGGCGGTCCCGTTCCCGCGTCCGTTCGTCTCTGGTGGACGTAGCCTTTCTACCGGAAGCGGGACGCTTAACGTGGCGTACAGATGGGATGTTGTACTAATACACTGCGCACGGAAAAACTAACAACAGCTTCGCGCTCGTTTTTTTTTTTTTTTTTTCCTTTTTTTGTGGAGTGAAATGTTGTCGACCTCGTTTTTCTATGCTGCAAAGAGAGAGAGAGAGGGAGAGAGAGAACCCGGTGACATGAACAAACGCACATATTTTCTGGGTTATGTGACGCTCGTTAAAGGGGGGTTCTATTCGTTGTATTCGATCTCTAAACTGGCTGGGACGATTGCTGAATTGGTGGTATGATCTGCTTCCTTTGCTTTCGGTGTTAATTGTCTTGTGGTTGTTAGACGTTATATTGTCGAGGCCTTTCCTTCTGCGGTTGGGCAGCGCATCGTGGTTCCATTGTCACCTTGTCCGTAGCGTCATAGTCGCCGGTAATACAGAGTTTGATAAAGGTTGCGACGATAGAGTGTCGCCTTCCAAGAAAGCCTGTTTCTTTTGTATGTGTCGAGTCGATTTGCATCGTTGTCCCATGGCAGCGCGCGAGTTGCGAAGCTTGAGCACTAGCTGGTCACGCTCATCGGCGTTGTGACGAGAGGCGTGTGTAATCTGGCAACCGACGTCTTCCCTCGTCCCTGCAGCGTGCCTTCCAGGCGCTGTGCCAGAGCACCCACCTGTACGGGCGTCGGCTGGTCCTGGAGTGGGCCTCTTCCGACGACCAGGAGGTGGACACGCTGCGCAAGAAGACAGCCGACCACTTTCTGCAGGGTGAGTGACGACTCGCCATCCTCCCTCTCTTTGTTTCTTCGTGCGGGAGCTTATTAGAGTGTTCTGCTGGCAACCCTGAAGGTCTTTTGTACGCCTTTTGTTGCCTTGATTTCTTTTCCCTCTACGTTTCTTTTCCTCTCCAAAACTAAAAAAAAAAAAAAAATCATGTTTGATCAATTTAGTTAATTTTTGCCTCTACGCGCGTCTTTATGTATATCCAGTTCGTTGCAAGCCAACTCGTTAAACATAAATTTTTCGAGAACCAGCTCGTAGAAGATCATTCGGTCGAAGACGTACTGGTCGAAGGTTAGTAATCGAGCGAGGAGTCCGGCATCCGTACCCTTTACAGTTGTCTTCTGAGTAGTTTGTTTAAAATCCGGTGCTTCGGGGAAAGTCTAAGTTTTCTTAGGCGCTACACGTGGAAGGGGCGAAATATCCGCTGGTGTAGTAGTCTCGTCGCTTCGCGCATCTTTTACCGCCGATAACGCAAGCGAGGTCGCCGCGGGCTATGTGACAGACAACTGCCGCGATTCCCCGTAGGATAAATCCAAGTTATCGAAGCTGCGTACTGTGTTGATTTCCTACGATTGTTGTTCAGAATCAGCCGTCGCTTGGTGCCTAGCGGAATGCCATCAAACAGAACTCATCTCCGAGTGACGCATATATCCTCGATTCTTGACAAGCTTGTGCTGTAGGGCATATGTGCGTGTGGTATATGCTATCGAGCCTGAATCGCGACGGGCCGGAAAAAACCGCATCCGGCCCGCTGAACGACGGCCCGCCGGCAACCCAAAGATACGACCATCATGGTTATTCTTATGTATACGGTGGCGTCTGTGTTGAAATCAATCTTTCGTCGCGGGTTAGGCAAAATACTCGGTATATATATCAATGAGCTATGTGTTGTTATCCTTGGAGGATTTCCTTTTTTTTTTTTCATTATTTAAGCAAAATAGGATATAATGTTTTAATTGGCCAATTATCAATATATTTGCGTAGCTTGTCGAGATTTATGTAATAAATACAGCTATATACAGGGGTGTTTAATTTTAATTCTGTCAGTTAATTAAAAAAAACGTGAAAGATCGAATAATGCAGTCCGTGTAGGTAAGTTCTACTGCCATGGGGATAGAATATAGAGAGCTGATCGCTAGGTTAGGTCGAATATTTAACTAAAATGTGTTAATTAATTTAATTAGTGAAAATAAACATGCTTTCAATTAAAAGCTTTTTGAGCGTTACCCAGATCCACTAAATCAATCAACGTAGAAATATTTGAAGCACATGGTAAAGGGGGAGGGGGCGCTGAATTATTTTCCTATTGCAACAGGCGCAAATAGAATTATGATCAGACGTGTGTATAAAATATGAACTAAAATATATCTCTGGGAATATATCAGTCACTGGAAATACGAAGGTACGTTTTGCTTTCTGTTTTTCTTTTATCTTACCGCCTGTGTGAAACTTTGAAGTAGAGTGCAGTAGAAAAAAAAAAGAGACGAATAAATAAAATAGTTTTCTAAATATTCGCTCATTTTCTTTTCTCCTGTAGAGTGCAATAGAAAACGAAGCACGAATGAAGAAAATATTTTCAAAGTTTTAAAAAGGCAGCCGGTTTGATTTGCGTTGGTGCCGAGTCAGCCAAGAGCTTAGCGTCTCTCCGACTTCTTCCAGAGCTAGGCTCCTCTGCTGGAGTTTCACCTTCCTCTTTCTTTGTTCCTTTCCTTCTTTCTTTATTTCACCCTTTCTCTTCCTCTCTGTCGTGGCGTTTGCCTTTCTCAAAGTGGACGGGTGCAGATCACATATACACAACTAAAAAAAAAAAAAAAAAAACGAACGAAAGTTTTGCAGTATTTTTTTACTATCTCGCATCCCATCCCGGAGGGAGAAAAAAAAATCAGCACGCGTATAATGTATTCTTGAAGAAGAATCGCTAGAAGTAAAAAAAAAAGGGGGGGGGGGGGGGCAGAGAGAAATAGCAGCGAAAAAGATTATGCGCTAGAAAGATGTCGACCAAAGCACGAGGAGAATAAAAAGAAACTATAGAAGTAAACGTGCAAAGGTTCAATTTTCTCCGAGGTCGTTCTCTTTTTCCTTCGTTTAGTTATAACTTTTTTTTACTGTTTTTAAAGTACTTATTCTTGCGAAAAAGGTTCATATTTGTAAGTTTTTTTGTTTTTTTTTTGTGCTGTGTAATGCGGAGAGAGAGAGAGAGAGGACTGCTCAGTGTTGCTCCCTGAGGCGCCCGAATGTTAACTGTAGAATATATTTTTGCATAAAGGGTATATGGAAGAAAGGAAGTGACTGCCGCGCTTCTTCCTTTTCTTTTTGTGTGTGTGTGTGTGGGGGGGGGGGGGGGAGTTTAGGGACGACGGGAGTGGAGGGAGGTTGCATACGTTCCCCCGGCAGGCAGGACTTCTGCTCGTGCGCTTCGTGTGGATTCGTTCGCAGACTGCGCGAACTAGCGTCGGTGGAGATCGCCCAGTTATGAAAATAAACGTCCTAATAGAGAAGGGAAGAAAGGCCCGGTCGGGCGCCATGGGAGCGGAGGAATCGGGGAGCACAAAAAAAAAAAGGAGAAAAAAAATACCAAAAAAAAAAATGAGAGCGAAAAAAAAAAAAAAAAGTCGACAGTGGAAGAAACGCTGAGCGGAATGGTCTGTCGCCTGGATTTGAATTCTCGCTTTTTTATGTATATTGTAATTCGTTGGCAAGATTTTTTTTTCTATGTGCGCGCTCGTGGTTTGGTGTCTTTATGCGTGAGCACGTAAACCTATGGTCGTATTTGGTGTTGGGTGTTTTGCTGCGTTCGTAATATCTCTTTTCCACGTGCCTGTCCCAAGAGAACGGTGCTTCTGCTGCGGCGACTTAGTGCTGCGGCTACGTACCTCGTGCAAGAGCTGATCTCTCTCTCTCTCTCTCTCTCTCTCTCTGTATATATATATATATATATTGTCATTTTTTTACTGCATTTGTTTGTGTCATTGGAATAAAAATACAGGGGGAAATGCACATCTATAAAAACTTAAAAGAAAAGGGCGAGAAAAATAACCTGTTTTTAAACTTTCGTCTTGAAGAGATGTTCGAAGTCAGCATTTTTGTTACTTTTTTGGTAGTGTTGCGTGCTTTGACTAATTTAATACCATTCCTTAACCCTTAGAATGGTTTGAGCCTATTACTAGTCACCACAGATTAAAGGTGACTGAGAAAGTGCTGCGTAAGTTAATTGTTGCTTTGCGATTAGTTTGCTGTAGTATATTGTAGTATGCGACCTGGAATCATTGCTTTGTTTGTGTTTATAAACATATAAACAAGGTAATATTTTTTTTTTTAATGGAAAGATGATTTTTTTTTTTTTAAAAAGGGTGCAAACTGCTAGCCGAATGCCGTCTTCGCTAGATGTTTCTTGAGTTCGGCGGACATTAGCTGAGGGAATAATCGTCATGGTAAGTAGGCTAAGTAACTAAATATGTTAATTCTATTTTTAATCGTTGGTTTTACGGGTCATGTTGCAATAGATAACCGGCGCTTGGCAGCAGCCGCAACGCACTCTGGGTATTATTCACTTCCGGTTCGTAGCTATAGCAGTCGACGCAGCATCATGACGCTCTGGAAGCGTGTGCGGGTGTTGAACCCGATCAATTTGAGTCACCCCCCTCTACTGCCGGGTGACTTTCGAATTTCTGAGAGTCTCAAGTTATCTCTACGGGTGTGGTAGATGGGAATCGGTACGCAGAAGCCTCGAGAACGGCCACGAAAGCGCGGAGCGAGCGAGGCCGGCAACAAGCTGCGCTGGCGCCGCGCTTTCCGGATCTTCGCATGAAAACTCAGGCTAGGTTAGCTATTTTGTTTTCCTTTCGAGCCAGCGTTCTTCGTTGCCTTTTATTTTTGATGGTTACGTTAGACCACATCACCAACTGAAATATGCGCGAATGTACGCCGTGGGACGCGGCTAGCTGAAATGCGCGATCGGAACTTTGGCGTACTTTTTCTCGCGCGATCGAAAAATCATTTCCATTCAAAAGTTTGTTTCGACGATATCGAATTACGCGAGAAACCTTGCTTTTATATTCTCGCGCGTTTTCTGTTCTTCAATTAGGTTGCCCCCCGTGTGCCATGTCTCTACCACCGCACGTTCTTTTTTTTTTTTTTATGTTAATAAGAAAGCATGCATAAACGAGCACCGATGTTGAAGTAAGCTACGCAGGATCGCATGACATCTTTATCATCTGTCAAGATGTAGGTTCTGCCTGCTTGCTTATGTTTATATTATAACAAGCTGAGGATCAGGTTTATGTGGTCGATAACCGTTGGCCGAGTTTTAGTGAGTGCTCCGAAGCTATTCCACATTGTAAGAAGCGATCGAGCTATAAATTTTGAGAGCCCATACAAGGGAATGCATCCCAGAGCCGCTGCTGTCGATGAAGGGGTCTGTTGACGAAACGTCGCGCAATGAACTGATTGCCTGCGAAGATCGCAAACAATCTGACGTCTGCGAGATCGCATCCCGCGTTCTCAAGGATGCCTTGAACGACAAGCCGTGCTCATCACGATTATTCGAGAGCTTTTTCTGGGTGTCAAGAGTCTTTGTTCCAAATAGTCATTTCACGCGGCTCCAACCTGAAGAAAGAGAGAGCACGTGCTGACCTGAAACAGGCACCGCTTGGCTGTCACGGGTTACTTTGCTCCTTCGCTCGCTTAAAGGGGTTATGACACGAAAATTAAACGGATAAATTATTCTTGAAATAGAATGATCATAGGGCTACCTAGTGTACACACCAAGTTACACGATATTTAGAGCTCTGATAATTGCAATAATCAATTTACGAATTTTTATCATTTCATCTGGCGACCAGGCAACATTGCCCAAGTTAGTCACACCATGGTGTTCATATACCACGTGATCATGAACACCCTCTCATTCTAGGCGTCCCCATGATCGCCCAAGCTCTTCTCGCCGCTGTACGATCAAAACCGCTCGCGCAACTCGGCGACCCGAA